TATGTTGAGAAATAAGAGCAAAAAGCCTAGTAGAATGTTTTCTGCTTAATGTTTAAAATGTTTTGAATCTGTCCAGAAAGGAAGCTCCAGGAAGGGGATGTAGCTCAGTGGCACAACACCTACCTCCCAAGTGCAAGGTCCTGAGTTCGACCCCCAGTACCAAAAATAATTGCTTATTTTTAAAAAAGAAAAAAGAAAGAAAGTTTCAGTAAAGTTGTGCCCCAAAACATAGAGCAGAGATCTTGATTGCTGAGAAGAAACAGAAAACTAAGAAAGATTGCCTAAGGACATTACAAGAAGCAACAGGATTCTACTCTTGCAGTCTTAAACTTGTAAACATGAAAGACTCTGTTTTGAGAAGACTCTCAGAGAATCCTGCTGCAGAATGACAAAAGCCTAGGAAAGGCATTCCCTGGGATTGGGTTCACAGGCGTTGGACCCCTACAGCCAAGAGACAATGAAGCCTGGCTATTGCTCCAGCTGGCAGCAGACCGTGGCATCATCCACATGGTGCTGGTTTTAGGTGCAAGCAGAATGCAAGAGTGGTGGGGTCAGCAAAGCTTCTACCGAGATCTCAGAAGAAGGCCTGGGAGGCCAGACAGTGCGCCGCTGAAAGTGCACTGCGTGAAGGTGTGAGTGTGAAGCTGAAGGTGTTGTAGCTACCCCAGAAGTTTGGAGAAGCCAGGAACATGGATCGTGTGAGGAAAACTGCAAGGAGAGAGCAGAGCCAACTCCAGGAGAAGCCATGGGAGTTATCAGCACCCAAAGTGCTTTGGCGTTCACAGCTTGCAACTATGGGATTTAATGTTTACCCTACTGGATTTTGGTCTTGCTGTAGTCCCATTCCCTTATATCCCCCTTTGTAACTTTTGGAATAGAAATGGCTATTTTATGCCACTGAAGAGTGGAAATGTTTAACTTTCTTTTTATTTGTACAGTGGCTGGCAGCTAAGAGTTTGCCTTAAATTTCAGATGAGATTTTGGACTTGGACTTGTCAGCAATGGTGAAAATGTTAGGTCTTCTGCAACTCTTAGAGATGGACTAAAATGCCTTTTATATAAAGGAGCATACATGAGCCTTGGGGGCACAGGGGTGGAATGTCATTACTTGTATTTAGATTTCCCACTAAAGCCTCATGTGGATGAAGTGGGGCCTTATCAGAGCTGGCTGGATCTAGAGTGTATGAGGCTGGAATTGATTCAAGGCACAATGCTAGGCTCGAGGGCACTAGGATTAAGGGTTTGGGTGCTACCCACTCTAAATCATTTGGGTGAGATAAAGGGGCAGAATGACACTGTTGAGGTATGTTGTTGCTTTGCTCTCCTCCTCCACCATGAACTCTTGTTCCTCTAACATGTGCCATTCTGCCTTAGAACCAGATGATGAAAAACTGACATCTCTACAAACTATGAGCTAAATACACCTTTTGTCCTTGAACTTTGGGTGTCAGCAACAAGGAAAAGCAACTAGAACACCAGGAAAAGAAATAGCAAGAAAAGTAATTTTCAGTCAGGGGTTTGGCTCTTCCTTTCTCTTGGCTAGGTCTTTCTCAGTGACCTCCTTGTAGCTATCAATTTTAGGATAAGATTTATTCTTTTCACAGTAAGAGCCACAAAAGTTCTGAACTTGAGCCAGAGAGTGACTCTTCTATATTTATTTTCAAGATGTCCTGGCCCAAGGTAATGCGTAAGCCCTGAAAAATGTTGCTATTTAGTCATGGTGTAGGTGAGATTATGTGACTGTATTACATATCTTTGCATATTGAATTTTTTACTCCTAAGTATCTCATACTTTCTCCTTTTGGTTTCTTCCAATAGCACTCTGGATCAACCCATCATCATAGCTTCTTGTCACTCTCGAAAAACGCCGTGTTAACCAGTAGGCCTACTCCTGCTCTTACTGGCACCCAGTCCCCCTTAAAGTTCAGCTTCCACTTCTCTTAGAATGCAGAAAAGCTTTCATCACGCGCCTTACAAGATCTTGAGCAAGCTATTGCTGAATCCTCATCTCCTCTTATACTTACTGTCAATATTTGGCTCTAGTTACTGTGGACATTGTCAGTCTTTCAGAACTGATAATCGCCCTCCAAATACAGGGTACATCTTTGGTAGGCAATTTGTCTCTCTGAACTCTCTCTCCCCCTCTTTCTCCTCTCTCTCTCTATCCCCCTCTGTATTTAATATCCTCTTACATTTTTCTCTATTTCACTCAAGGTTCACTCTTTAAGAAAGAAGTCCCTTTATATTTAAAGTTGTATTTATTTATTATTTCACAGTGCTGGGGACTGGACTCAGGACTTTGCAGATACCAGGCAAGTTTCTTTCAATGAGTTACACTCCCAGCCTATGTTCTACCTATTTTAATATCTCATAAGCCCACTCTTCTTTTTAGCCTTACCATAGCTCTAAATTTGTATATGTAAATATAATTATTCAATTATTTTTCATTAGACTAAATATTTTTTCTCATTGAATTTATTGGTATATTTTAGGTATACAGTACACTTACATTCATCATTGGCATCTTGTACCTTTACATGACAGGTCTTGGTTCTAATTTTTTCCCCTTAACCATGTCCTCCCTTCACCTCCTCCTCCCTTCCCTATTTACAAAAACTTTGTTTCCATTTTTTCACTTTCTCCTATTTTTATTTTCCCTTATTTCCTTTCCCCTACCCTTCCCACTTCCCCTACACCTTTAGCCATTTTCTTCCTATTTCACATTTTCAATTATCTCATTAGGATCTTCCATACCATTACAGTTTTTCATACCAAAGAAACCTTTCGGTATTTTTACATGTGTGATTTATTTATTTCACTTAAGAGTATATCCTTAATATGTATCCATTTTCCTATGAATGACTCCAATTTCTCATTCTTTGTGGCTGAGTAGTATTCCATTTTATAGAAAAACCACATCTTCTTTATGCAGTCTCCAAATGATGGGCAAATGGGCTGTTTCCAAGTTTTAGCTATTACAAACTGTGCCGCTATAAACATGGGTGCACATATATCACTGTGATATGATTCTTTTAATTCTTTTGGACAGATACCACACTGAGGGATGGCTGGGTCAAATGGAACCTCTAATCTCAGCTCTTTGAGGTATCTCCATATTGATTTTCATAGTAGTTGCAGCAAGGATTGTTGCGAGGCAGGCAGGCAGAACCACGGAGCTAAATCCCCTGCCCTTTAGAATGGATATTCTATCATTTGTGTCCAGTTCTATATACTAAAGGCTCTTTAGATCTTTGTAAGCTACCTAAAGAAAAGAGAGTAGCACAATGAACACTTGTGAAAACTTGTTGGAGGAATGAGTACGTTTCGAACTACCTATGCTCATGTTCAACATATTTAATCTAATCTACTCTTTTCCTTTGCTTGATCCAGGTTTCCTGATGTCTTACTCACATTTTATAAAGCAAAGTACAAACTACCATCACCCTTTTCATTTGGTGATTTCTTGGCATGTGATCTTTATGAAAAGTCTTTACTTTTCTAATATTAAAATCTTTCCAAGTTGCTGCAGTCAATTTTACCAGCTACTTCTAGCTTTAGGAAACTACACAATTCTCTTTAGTCCAGGTTCCTAGCTCTCTCACTAGTCTATCTTGAATTATGACCATATGATTTCCTTCTACTTCATGTTACAACATTACATTAAAAAAAAAAAACTACTAACCCATGTGATCCTGGTGTTGCAAAAAAATCCCACAAATTTCAACATTATTCCATATATCACCAGTGCTTTTTGAATGGAAAACAGAAAAAAGAGATTACTATTACCTTACTGCAAATTTTCCCTCCTTTTGTATCAAATGAATGGACAATAAACCAACACTTTTGACAAGTCTTTTTTAAAAAACTAATGTCAAAAAGCTTAAGTTCCCCACGCATGTAACAATGCCATGTGTTTCCTCACTGGTGAGCTTCAGAGTAGCAACAATTGGTCAGCAGGATGCTTCTAGCCAAGGGCTTTTTTTTTTTTTCTTTCTCTCTCTCTTTCTCTTCCTGGGTCTGCTCTTGCCAGGAAAAGGCAAGGAAATATTCCTGATCAAGCATTTATAGTTCATACGAATTTCCCCTCAAACAAAGAAGTGGAGCCTGCCTTAACCACATGAATTTAGGTGTAGTTAAGTGCAAGGTAGCGGACTTTTTTCTGGCTAACAATCTTTCCAGTTAACACTGTCTCACAACAGGACTGGACCCGGCTTTCATAAATTATGCACCTGGCTGTATGTCTCTTTCTAATTTTGCTCATTTCAGATCTGTCACCCATCTGACAACCCTGTAGGCATTATACATTTATGAACAGCACTTGCAGCTAGAAAAGCAATCACACTCAAGGTCAAGTTGCATGTGAAAAGACTCTTGTGTGAAGGAGTTCAGTTGGTGTTGTCCTGATGTCTCCCAAAAATATTTCTCTTTTGAGACAGAATTGAATAAGTTGTTTTAAACTCTCAATCTATCATCAATATTTTACAATGAAAAAAAGATACAAATCCCAACAAGTACAATTTTGATAAGCAATTTATATTTTAAGCAATGAGAGGGGAATGGTCACCTCTATACTGCTTCTCTTCTTGTGAGTCTCTCTGTGTGCTACCATGTTTGTTCACATGTGCATGCACTGGAATACTTATAGCTCAAAGAAAGGAAGGTGGTAATTTATAGTTTGAGAAATATTTTTAAACATAAAGACGATAAACTTGATTTCCTTTTTGTTAACTCTGACTTCCTGACATTTGTAATGGAACATGTCTGTGCATACTCTACATATTTCTTGTTTACAGATGAAAAATTATAACAAATATAGCTACAAATGTTTCAAAATTAACAATTTTAATACTAGGAATTATAAATTTAGTAATATTGTCAGATTCACATAACTAAGTAATAAACTGTAAGTATAATGAATTGTATCTTAAAATGTATGTGCATTCTTTTAGACATAATTTATTAATACTAAATAGTCATATAATATAAAGATGCCCAGTTAAGCGCTTGTTTCAATAGCACAAATACTAAAATTGGAACAATACAGAGAAGATTAGCATAGATCCTCCACAACGATGACACTAATTTGTGCAGCATTTCATATTAAAAAAAAAACAATGTACAAGTTCAAATAAATAGGCTGGCTCTTTTTTTAATGGATTCCCACTAGAATTTAGAGCCAATAGGAAAATCTACAAATACGGATTTCTAAGGCCGGAAAGGCAGAATCTTGTTTTGAGCTCAACAGAATAATTGAGAGAATAAACATAAGCATTTAGAAAATGGTATAACAATCGTCATAGAAATAAATCAGAAAAAAGATACTAATCTCCTTCCATTTAACTTAGACGCAGTAATTAGACCCTGGCTTCATACTTTAACGTCAGAATGCTGTTCAGTGGGGATGCTGACAGGAGTTTGGTACGAAGTGTGCATGGAGAGATGAGGGACTGTTGGAGTCCTGAGCCCCAGATCTCCCAGAATGCGTGGTTACAGATAAAACCCTACAGAGCCACAAGTCCAAGCAGGAGCAACGCAGAGTACCTTAAGAACTGAATGCTCTAGCCCTCTCCTCTCCACACTCTGCTTTATCCCTTAATTCGGTCCTAAGGCTAATCATGTAACTGAGTACCCGGACCCTCCCCTCTGCTTCCCCTACCCACTTCATAAATCCCTGCACGGATGTCCTGCTTTTGCCTTTATCCTTGCTTCTTTGTTGTTTCAACTAAATACCATAGAATTTGCACTGTGAGGCTATCTATATGAGACTGTCATGCTGAGGGACCCTGAAGGGACAGTCACGATGGACCTTCTCGTAGTGTCAATTCGACATTGACTCAGAGTAATCTGTCATTCTTTGTGCCATGCCATGGTTGTGAACTCTGACACTTTCCATTCCGATAATTAAAGGTGAGAAAAAATAGGTGAAGAATGATAAAAGACACTGAAATGTTTCAATAAAACAGATCACATTGCAGAAACATACCTCAAAAGCAAAGCAACCACTTGCCAGTACAACTTTCCTCAGGCGCTAATTTTTATAACCATTTAAAGGCAAGACAGGCACCTTCATTCAGATAGGGAGGTTGTGCGGTATTTCACAATAACAAACAATGACAACAAAAAAAGAAAATGTGAAAAATGGCAGCAGCCTAACAAGACACTAAGGAAAATTTCCTTCAGTCTTAGCTCTTTGTAGGAAAAAAAATATTTCCTTTTGAAAATCTGTTTGAAGCTCTTTGATCCAACTACATTTTTGAAGTTGTTAACTTTTCCTTGTGCGTGGTATAACAAAAATTTTTTAGTGAAATGAACCTTGGATAACATCATTCATGCAGCACATCCCACTGAACTTGAGCTCATATGACTTTAAGTTGAAAGACTGAGTAGGCAGAAATGGAACCAGACTAGGCTGGAATAAAAGACAATTTGAAAGAGTAGATGATAAATCAGAACTCAAAACTACACTACCAAATCACCGGCTAACTGGAGAGGAGGACACTCATTCTTGCTATAGGTAGTTTTACTACATTAAAACCAATTGATACATACCACATATGTCAATATTTTAACATCTTTTTTCAGTCTTAACATAGTCAAAATAGATATATCAAAACACAAAATCATCATTTCGCCTTAAAATCTGCAAAACTTTGACTTTCATCTCATTTCTTATCCCTATCCAACCCTGAACATACACATATGATTGTGAATGCTTAATACTGAGATTGTTGACTTAGAACATGCGAACTGATAGAAAAACAGAATGCTTTTAAAGTAACTTTATCATGTACTAGTGGTTATTTGCTCAAGTTTTTGTCCCAAATTTAAAAAAAGAAAAGTGAACCAGTATTTGCCCTTTCCTGTGAAACGTTTTTATCTGCTTGGTGGATACAGATAAAGAAGGCATGCTTATCATATTTGCAGGTGACCTCAGGCTAGAAGACTAAGTTAACATGACAGATGACAGCACCACGATTCTGAAAAGGCTCAACAAGCAGAAAAGATAGAGAGAAACCGAACACTACACAAATTTATGGGAATAAATTCAAATGCTATGGTTATAGTAAACAAGCAAAAACAAAGATCACAAAAATAAAGAAATCTATCTTAATACTAGTTTGTTTAAAATGTGGTCATTTTTCTTGACCATACTCAATTATTCTCTATAATTCAAAAATCTGCAGTAATGAGTTAAAGTTGCTGGTTCACAAATTACTGAAAGAAATCATGGACTGCAGAATTAGTTCTCTATTCCCAGGTAACATTTACTTTCTTTATTCTTGACACTCTCCTAAATTGTCTTTGGTAATCCCCTCATTTTTCAGCCACTGCTATCCATTACAGAATAAAAATAAGGCAAATCTCCCTTAACCCTTAATTCCAGACTCACATTACATTGTGCACTCCGACCATAGCTAACTGCTGTTTTTAATTCAGGGTCTCTCATGTAACAGTACTTGACAAAGAGACATAATTAAGAAATAAGATTGAGTTTACCTCCTTTCTTTTATAAGCTAAGAGACAGTAAATTATTCACCTCATTAATATTAATATTCACATTTTGAGATAAATTTACTGAATATTTTCTTGCCATCCTCACTGCATCACCGTGGAAATTATACCAACTAAATTATACAGGAATAAAAACTGTCTGGGTTAAATATTCCTGGCAACATGGAAGATGAAAATGGACAAATCTCTCATTGCAAACAACTAAAATCATTGGATAGATTCTTTTGCCACTATGCAAATGGATTGATGACAAGATTCATCAGTGAGATGAAAGGTATACTTAGATGAAGTACTGAATCGACATTTGTTTTGTATTTACCAAAAGAATGAACTGGAGAGTTAATTCTTATGCTCTAATAAATGAAGGGGAAATAAAATTCTCAGATTCAAAACAGAATTAAACAAGAATAGAAAAACTATTAAAAACAACCAGCCCTCAACGTTGGATGCTTTCACCACAATGCTTATACCTTCCACTTAAATATGTGATACGTAAGATTACTGACATTTAGAAATGGGAAGAAAGGAGCTAAAGGTGTAGGGAAGGTGGGATGGGTAGGGGAAGAGTAAAAAGGGAAAAGAAAAAATGTGAGAGAATGAAAAGATGAAAACAAAGTGTTTGTAGATGGGGAGGGAAGGAGGGGGTGAAGGGAGGGCAGAGGTAAGGGGAAAAAATGAGAATCAAGACTTGTCATGTAGAGGTACAAGATCCCAACAACGAATGTAACTGTACTGTATCTCTAAAATGTACCAATAAACTCAATTAAAGCTGAAAAAAATATGTGATACAGAATAATAGTTTTCAAAAAATGTTAATGAATATGAACAACTGCTTAATAGTGACTGTAAATCCTGCAATGCTGATTAAAATAAATTATCTATTTTATGTAGTTTGTATAAGTACTCACTTAAGGTATTTCCAATTTTCATTCTTCCTTAAAATGCTTTTATTTTACTTTGCATCTTTTTGTCCAAGAACCTAGAACAAGCACTCTTGTACCTATATCAAAGAGATAGTTATTACACTAAAATAAGAAAGCAGAACTATAGATAAGTAATCAAAAAGATGAGTAAATTAGAATCATAAAACAGCGAGTCTATAAAAAGTTGAAAAGCAAAAGCAGGAATGTAGCACAGATGGAATTATTAGAAAATAAATATAATCCATTTAAATATAAACATATAAATAATTACATTAAAAGTAAATGATCTAAATGATCTTAGTCAAAATTGCACAGATTATCAGACTGGGTAAAAACAAAAACTGCTGTCTATAAGTACCACATTTTTAACACAAAAAAATACAAAGAAAATTGAAAGGAAAAGAATGGAAATGTAATGGTAATGTAATCATCAGAAGAGAATCAGAGATTACAATACTAATATCAGATAGTTTTTGTTCCACTTCAAGTAGTTACCAGGGACAAAAAGTTGTTTATAAAATAAAGAGGCCGGAGATGTAGCTCAGTGGTACTGCACCTGCCTGGCAAGTACAAGGTCCTGAGTTCAACTGCTGGTGCCCCCCACAAAAAAAGATAAAGAGGTTGATCCATCAGGAATTTGTAGTGCTCTTGAGTGACTCTAATAACAAAGCCTCAAAATACACAGAACAGAAATTAATTTGCAAAAAGAAATTTACAGTAAGAATAACAGATTTCGGTATCCTTGACAATAATTTTTAAAATAGATGTACTAAAGAAATCCAAACTGTTAAGAGTCTTTGCACAAAGACAGTGCTATGGTCAGATGGCTTCAGATGATTTCTATAAAATGGTTAAGGAAGAATAACATTAATTCTACAAAAACTCTTTTGGAATACTTTAGAGAAATGAATACTTGACAATCCAGTCTATGAAGCTAGCCTCCTCTTGATACAAAACCTGATAAACACTATCCATAAAAGTATACTGCAAACCAATATGTTTTACAAACATAAATGTTCTATTTTAAACATAAAAATTCTAGTATTACATAAGCAGGAGTACACATCATTGCCAATGTGGTTATTCTTAGGAATGCAAGGCTGGTTTAACATTGAAAAATGAATGTCATTTACCATATTAAAAATATGGGGGAAAAAAGAAATGAAAAACATAATTATTTTATGAAGTACAGAAAATTTCTTGGAAAAAAATCTACCAAGATGCATTCTGATAAAAACTCACAGCAGAGCAGCCATGGAATGGAAATTCCTCTACCTGATAAACGTTATCTAAAGAAAACCTATCGCTGACATCATACTTAGTGCTGAAAGACTGAATGCATTTCCCCCAAAGTTAAAATGAGCGACTTCACTCCTGTTCAACATTCGAAATGTTCTGGAGAGTCTAGCGAGATAAACTAGGGCAGAAAGAAGAGAAAGGCATTCATGCTGGATGCTAACTGAGGAATGCTGATAGGAAAGAGCAAAGAAAAAGAAAGAAAAGACTGAAGCTTGTAAAACCTGCAGCAGAATTATATAAATTATCAGAGGCTGGAATTATCTAGAGCATTCTTTGGAAAACATAGGAAATGATTTAATAGTTTATTTCATTGATGGTAATTCCCCTGAAAGAAGAAAACTTTAAGAAAATAAGAATTTCAGAATATATTT